AATTTTTTTTTTTAAAAAAAAGAATCTCTATGGTGAGCCCAGCCTCTGAATTTGTTTAAAGGCTTCCAAACAATTCTAATGGGCACTGACCTGGTCCTAATTCTAACTTAATTCTAATGCAAGACCCAGAACTAAATGAAGTCCTATTCCTAAGGAGCTTCCCCTGGGGAGTACAGCACAGAGCTCTCCAGAACACAGGCAGGAAGGCAGCAGTCCTCCCAGATGGTGAGGAGAGGAGGGGCCTCGTGGTCCCTGAGCGGTCCCCCACCCTCTGTATGTGTTTAATGCTTAGAAACTTCTCCCCAGGGAATGAGTGGAGCGACCACACCTGCATGCTAGACCTTTTGCAAGTGCCTCATAGTGACATCCTCAGCTCCAGATTCCCCTGGAGAAAAAGGGAACCAATGTCTGCCCAGGGAAGTGACACTACAGAATCTATTTTTAGTCACATCACTGCAGGCATGCTTCTACCATGCACAAAAATTGGGTTTCAATTTTGTGACATGACTTAAGGACATAAGGATAGACAATTCAAGTGATACATAGCATCTGCTTACATATCTTTTTTTGAGTTTCAAAAAAAATCTTATTTATTTGGTACATGGTCTTGCTACACAGCTTGGACTTGTGATCTTCCTTCCCAGTGCTTGGATTACAGGCCCAGTTTTGGTGGCCAGCATGGCATATGGCACCAGGGACCAAACCCAGGTCCTTGTGCTTGCCAGGCAGGCACTTAGTCCACCAAGCTCTCTCCCCAGCCCCTGCTTACATATCTTTAATCAAGACTACACTGTGTTTTATTCCTCAGGGTCCATAGTAGCATGTAGCAGTTGTTTCATGTGCTTCTGAAGGGTGGACAGAATATGCTAGCTGATCTGTACGTTGGCCTCCATGAAGTCTAAGGACCATCAGTTACTTTTGAGTGGATGGGAAAGAAAAAAGAAACTCTACTCTTTTTACCAAAATGCTCATGCAATAGGCTATATTGTATAGTCATTTTGAAATATAACGAAAATCCAATGAAATTTGTAATCTGGTTTATTAAAGTTTTACATAAGTGTAATCATTTTTCCTTCACTAACATGCCTACAAATGTGTTCAAAATCTTTGCAGACACCTACTTTCTTCTTCTTTTAGTGTACTGCAAATTAGAAAACCACGGCCACTCTTCCCTCAACACTGCTGGAGCCTAGCTGCTCTGACAATCTAAAGGAGTTATTAATAGCCCAGGGTGTGATGCTATTTTTTAGCATTGTATAAATAATATATTGTGTTTACACAGCAGCTCTCCCCACAGGCTCTGAGTTTCCACATCAGCTCTCTGGTCCCCTGGGGGCCATTGCCCAGACCTAGATTTTTATTTTTCTGGTATTTGATGGACAAGGAAGGGAAAGTCATGTTTCATAAACACAAGGAGTCAAAATCAGGGAGTCAAGGGTTTGGAAGCTTACCCAACATGGCCCAAGGAGTTGAAAGTCCACCAGGAATAGAAGCCAGCTCCACTGGTGCCCTCCCACTGCTCGGGCTCAGTCAGCCACGCGGTCACTAAAAGGCTCTGCATGTCACATGCTCAGCTCCACCACCCTTCGACTACAGCTATCTCTAGGATGCCATAAAGATTTAGGTCAGTTGTGAACACTGTCCATGTGGCTGCTTCTGCATCTCAACACGTGAGCTGCTTCCAAGCTTGCCAGGCAGAAAGTAGAGGGGAGCTACTCCCTTAGCACACATAGCCATCCCTCAGACAGGCTGGCCTGGCAGGTGACAAGGACACTGAGACATAAGGTCACCAGAAAGAACACAGACTCCTTTCCCTCATGCCCACACCCTGGAGGAGAACTCTGCATCAGAAAGGGGCAAATGGATCACCACCCCCATCAACATAATCCCCAGTGGACTCAGACTAAAACAGCTTACATCCCCATGGGACCAGCAGGGGCCACAGTCGGGGCCACAGAGAGGGCCACAGATGCGCAGCATCCGGAGACCTTGTAGAGAAGCACATTTGGAGTAAGTTCACCTCTGACCCACTGAAGCAGGTACTCTGAGACCCAGAAGTCTGCACTTGAGTAAGCCCTTGAGCTGACCCTGATGCACACTGTATTAAGGCAGAAAAACACAGATAAATTACTAAAAGAAATGATTAAATGGGTTAAATCTTTTTCTGTTGTTTGCAAAGAGCTGTGAATTGCCAATCGTGTACATAAGACTGTAAATCTATGAATAATTTAGAGGCAATAATTTTTGCTTCTGAAATTATGAAGGCAAAATCAGGCATTCACATCCAAAATGATGCAAGATGAAAAGCTGGCTCTTTGTTGAACACCAGTTGATCAGCCTACAGCTCACACTGAGGAAGCCTGAGTCCTCTCAGACCAGCCCTAAGTGACATCCCCTTAGAGCAAAATAGCCACGCAGGAGAAGTCTCATCTTCAGTTGCAATTTACAAAACACAGAGCAGCCCTGGTCATTAGCCAATGAGCTCCACAGTTCGGAATGTGGCTGTTTATGTTCAGCCTCACCTCTAACGCACTTGACTGAGAATCAACAAACAGGATCTCATCCAGGTAAAAGGCTTTGCACAGCAGAAGAAATATCCAACAGTGAAAAGAAAACTGACGCAAGTGGAACAATTTTTGCCAGATTTTTGACCAAAAAGTTTTAGAGAGAATTAATATATAGAATTTAGAAGGAACTTAAAAAA